GGATATGCTAGAACGCTACGGATATTATATATTATGGTCGAGTATACTTACAGATCCTGGAGCTTTAAATAAAATAGGAAAAGAAAAGTGTTGGGGTTTGTATGATTAATGAGAATCAAGCCTTGTTAATATCTCTTAATGAAGGGTGAATATACCAAGCATTGGGAATGCAACTCATGTAATTTCCTTGATATGTGGAATCAATGTTTCTAATCTAAATAAAGCAATGATTCATGCACATATCTAATTGGAATGAGAACTCTTTAAGGGGCCATTTAGACCATCAAGTACCGTCGATTCCAACTGCCTCGTCTTCAATAGTCCTATTCCTTTTTTAATGTAAGTTGCATGCGTTATAGTAGTACCGGAGCCGATGGCATCCATCACTCTGTCTTAGCTGCGTTATCATTGACGAAATATCCAGTTGCGAGGCTGAGGCGCAACGGCGGCCGAAACGCGCCCAATGCAACAACAACCACACAAAACACGTTGAGTAAATAAATATCATGCTCTACAACTTTACCGTCCATATCGAAAACAGTACTATATGCTACTGCTCTTGAAAAGATTGCTGGATACATATCTAAGATATCATGAACAATATAAAGAATATCTGTACCTCCCCTTCCGATTTAAACCATCATTAGTGCGAGGCCTAATGGCCCGGGGTGGCAGTGCCATGAAGATGAGGATTTAGACGTAGGATGAAGCATACGGCGTAGCATTATGTGTGCCGCAATGAAATAAAATGCCACTGCTCGTGGGAATGAGGATACATAAGCATTTCGTGCCTGATTTCTTTCTCCTGTGTCTCCGATGCCACCGTTCATCTCTGAAACTCACCTTTCGAAGTAAACTGCCATAAGGAGTGAAGCAGAACCTGTTCCAAAAATCTGTAGAGAGAATCTTTTGAATTATCTGTTTCATTAAGTTAATATGCAATACATCGATGAATTGCATTCCGCCATTAATGGAGAACTCTGAAAGCCCCTTTATCAATGAGCGATGAACGTAGGATGCAAGCTAAGAGACTCAAGCTTCAACCTTAGGAAGCTATCTTGTCTCCTTTTGCTCTTGACATGAAGAATCTCTTGTTGAGAATTATATATGCCATTCCAACCGGTTAGTTCACTTGTATGCACGAAAGGTGCCTTAATAATTACCCCAGGTCTTACAGGGAACTAAGAGTGAAAGAGAACCTGGTTCTCGAACTCATTGTCTCTCTAGCTACTTTAACGCTGGGTAGACAAATGTGCTGTGTGCAGGTCACACTAGATAAATGAAGCCATGAAATTTGACATTCATTTTTGTTGTGAAAACATGAAGAGTTTATTGGATTTCGGGTAACACTGATAATATGCAGGTCTAAGGTCTTCCTCTTCGTTTGTACATTTTCAAATTCAATTAAATTAAGAAATAGCTAGAAACTTAAAGAAGACCTAGGCTTTGCTACGGTGATATGATATCAAGTTAAGACAAGCGGTGACAGATGATTATCTTCAAATATTCTGCCATGTACCTTCGGAGTACTCACTGCGTTTGTATGTCTGTTTCTCAGTAGGTAGTATTGATCTATTGGTGTTACACCACATTATCTATCAGGCCCTGCAGACACCTGAGTTCCTGTGGTAGGCTTTGACTTTCCCCCAGGTATCACGTCCGTTTCATTGTAGCTTCCTTTTTCTTCTTTCTTTTCTTCTCTACCCCCCTGCTGTTGTCTGGGTGAGGAAGTAATAGTTGCTGCCCAGCTACGTCCAGCTTTGGGCTGGGTCCAATGTAACTATCTCCCACCAACCACATTCGACCCCTACGCAGACCATATTACCTCCTACTTCGAGACTTCTCGTTCACCAATCGGCGCCGCGTACACTAATACACACGCGACACTTCATAAGGATATCTGCCTCTTGGTACCTCTGTATCACCGACTGCTTTCATCCGTGCAGCCTCGAGATGTCTAATCACTATGATGCGCTGGGAATCCAGCAAACGGCAACTCCAGAAGAAGTGACATCTGCGTATCGCCGGTTGGCTATGATACACCATCCGGATAGAAATCCCGGCGACATTCCTGGGGCTACACAGCGCTTCCAACGGGTAAGATGTGCGTTCTAAGCTCTCACCTGGCGTGAGCTGACTATCGCTATCAGATTCAACTTGCTCACGAGATTTTGTCCGACGATGCTGAGCGACGTCGATATGATGCGAGCCGAAACACATCTTCATCCCTGGATGCTGCATCCAATGATGGTGAACGTACCCATCGGTCGCATCCCAACACTACTGAAGACAGCTCGTGGATTTTTAACTGGTTGTTTAATTTCGGACGATCCCATGTACCATCGCAAGCAGACCGAGAGGCAGAAAGGTGGAGATTATGGCAAGAACAACAGCGACAGTGGGAGCAAGAAAGAGAGAGGGTAAGAGAACAACGCCGACGCCGGGAACAAGAACTAGAGGCGACGATAAGAGAACATGAGCGACAACGAAGGGAAAGAGAGGAAGCACAGAAACAGCTTCGAAGGGCGGCCAAAGAAGCAGAGCAAGCCAAGGCTGAGGATTCACGACGAGCTCGTCTTGCCGAGGAAACCCGGATCCAGGAGGCCCGGTGGGTCTCCATGGGAGCCGTCACGGATGAGGAGAGAATCCTGGCCTGTCTGCACTCCGGATTCTGTAACAAAATCCGTTACACGAAAAGGCTCAGGTGCTGTATTTGTGGCGCTAAGCGAGGCATGATCTTATTCATGTGCCCTCATTGCACTGTCGAGATCTGCCAGCTGTGCCTCACGAAGTTCACGAAGGAACGAGCTCAAGCTTCGTAGGGAAAGGAGGACGCAATACTTGTGAAGCTCTTTGTCAGACGGTGGCAGAACCCTATGGTCATGTTGATTGCGGCTAGGATCCCTGTGATGAGAAGGGATGAAATGGGCGTGTGTGAGCTTACTGGTTGTTCGGTAGAAGATAGTAAGACTTCCTCACTATCTACATAGAGAAAAGGCCGCCTAAGGGGTTTGGTGTATCACGGCGCATGGGAAGTCGGTGATGCTGTAGTCTAGATTTCGAGATTGTTTGAGCATATGTAGATGAGATGGTAGAGCTGTCCACGAGCCACCACTGGATAAGACCAAAAGACTTATAGTCAATGCATAGTGAAAAAGTAGGATAAGAGTTTTCTATTCCGTATTCTTATCTCCCCATTTTTGGCTCTTACGCTTCTACACCAACTCTTGAAATCTCTGAGGAAGACCTAAAAAAACTGGGCGCCTGCTTTCAGTACAACCACTAGCTATAGATATGCAGGTGTATCTAGATGTAATGTATATCGTGAGCCTCTTTCCTCCCGTATCTGCAGCTATGGGCCACCAAGAAAATGCAAGGACATCTCTTTCCATTTGTTCTTGCTCCCCCAGTTTGGCGCAAGGTACGACCTTCTGTATTTTCGCGCTATATTTTGATGCTGTAGATATTTCTCGTCTCTCGCTTTGCAATGTGTCCTGCGACCGCTCAAAACCCACCCTACCAACCCATCAACACAGCCTGCTCACATCTCACCATTTGCCATCAAGGGCCATAAAGAGACAGCTTCAGCATCATTCCATCATCACAAACGAATATCCACGATGGTGACATTCCAGCATCCTCTAATTCGTCGAAACCTAGGTATGTGACATAGACTTGACAATGTCCCAAACAAAGTTGCTAACAGCCAAACCACTCATCACAGATGGTGCCGCCGATGATGAGCATACGCTAGCAGTAATCCAACCAGCCATACCCAAATACGATGTCACTGAAGACTGTAAGTAAACAATGCCCTTCCCCCTTTATCCCCCCTCTCGAGTCCCAGACAGTAGGCTAACAAGCATGAAATTGACCAGCTGATGTGGTTCCCGAGTATACGCGCGAGTACCTGCAGAATCTATCGACAGCAGTCGCCACCCGTTTGAAATACAACGACGATGAGATCTCGTACTACGCAGAGGCCCTGGCCAGAACGCAGAAGATCCACAAGTATTTGATGGCCATACTGATGCTTATTGGGGCTCTCTGGTTCCTCACGTCGATTATGGTTGCAGTCATCGTTGTAATGCGCCGGGCGGCAAAGCAGCAGCAGGGTTAATGCTGCGATGAGAAGTCACATCGGAGTGTGTGCCATTGAGGACGATGCGTTGTGCCTGGATTAGGTGTGAATAGGTATGCATGATTCAGATGGATCGATCAGGAGAGTGCAGAGCGTTATATCCTGAGGGACGAACAGAATTATCAATAGTTGTATTGTTTATTACTTTCAGGTTTCCTTACGATTGTACATCCGATAAATCCTCTTCTTGATCATACACCTGTCTCACGACATGTATGCAAGATGTTTTAATATGAATATTTCCTAAGACGTCAGTGGCAGGATACATGATTGGCTGGAGTTTGGATTTGGCGTCGAAAGAGGCTTAGTGCAGCTGGCTTAGAACGACGCCGTATTAAAACTTGAGTAGTACTACCCATAGAGCTTGACGGGTTGACGGTGTAAAGGTGTCACGGTCCTCTACTGCTAGTATGCCTAGTTTTGACTATTGTTATTGCAAAGGGAGAAAAGGTCTATCTACGCTAGCAAGCCTATCTTAGGAGTATGGGTATCTATATAGCTTGGTTTCAATGTCCGAAAACAGTGGCCCAAGACTCAGCATTACTCTTGTGACATGCCGCAATGAAAATACGCGATACCTGGCTTGGATCCCATAATGAAGTAATACTGAAAAGTGCGAAGTGAGAAATGGGCATATACCGTAAGTTACTACACAAAAGCCCGACTAAAGCAAGCAACGGTAGTGCTAAAGAAGGCTAATGGTGAGACCCGGGAATTAGTGACATGAAAGCTTAACCTTTGGTAGACATGGTGCAACCTGTAAAAAGATTAAAAAAAATATATTTGAAGATTCGATACCAAAGCGAAAAAAGATATCGTGGGTTGCGATTCCTAGTTAACTAGGAGGCATAGGGAATTGAGCCCGATGCGGGGGTCGAACTATTCGATTTTAGGGTTAATTGCATATTCATATGGGATAAGTTACATATTTATGTGTTTAACACTTACCCCGCAACCTTGAGATTAAGAGTCTCACGCTCTACCGATTGAGCTAACCGGGCAGCTGTAGTTTGCTGGTTGAATACACACTGTGGCTAAGCGTGTATATGTACCTCTTGCTTTCATCTAATGAGAATTCGAAAAATAAAATGTTTGGAGATCATAGCAGGGATGTTATTCGTAAGAAGAGTTATGGGGTTTTACGTAAGACAGACCGGTTAGTGGGCAATTGTTCGCCAGCCGGCAGCTCCAAAAGCCAGAGTCGTTTAGGGCTAGGGCTCGCAAGAAATAGAGAGCCCAAAGTACCAATCAAGGATAGCCGGGAAACTTCATAGCGGGGCTGCTTTTGATTCATAGTACAGCGCGGATGGTAAGGCGATGGCCTAGGAGGCAAGATTGTAAATACTTTGTGAACCATCACGAAAGGTCTTGGGTGCACGTATTGAGGTATGTACTAGTTGTATTCTCACTTGCGTTTATCACATTCAGCATTAGACAGTAGGGTTAGAAGGCAAGTTTTTTGCTTGCTGGAACGAACTATTGAAGATTGGTGTGAACTTTGATTCTTTTATTCGGATACCAGCTGGCTTCACATTGAACCCCTTGTTACCTCATTTGTGTCCCAAGGTCGGTTCGCATAGATATTTGGCCCGAGTTGCATCGGCCGGAACCTCATGCCACATACATCACCGTCACGAGACGAGAATTGTAGTTTTGGGCATTGGTATAGTTTTATTTTCCTCCAGGCGTCATCGCCTTTGTACTCAGAAGATTGATTCCGTCCTGGCCCCTAATGCAATGTAAAAAGTAACCGGCAGACCCAGAAAACACCAGCACCGCAACCGCAAAATACCCATCGCCTTTAGATAGTCGTCTCGTACGCAAGAGGAACAACGGTCTCCGGGTGGTTGTCCTTCAGGGACACTGTTCGCGCATCACGGGGTTGGGCGGGTTGTCGCTTGACCTGGACGGTGATTCCCTTGGCCTTAGCCTCCTTCTTGGCAGCGGCGTTGGCCTTGACGCGCTTGATGAAGTCCTCTCGTGATCGGGAGTGGGTGATGTGCTCGATGCGAACGTTTACGCGCTTCTCGAGGTAGCGGTGGTCGACCTTCTTGTATATGATGACACCGACGGAAGTCTTGGTAACGTTGTAGACAACACCGGTCTTGCCGTGGTAGACCTTGTGTGGCATACTGCTTCCAGTTAGCCTTGATCTTGGTTCGTGCATATGTGCCGTTTCTCGGATCTTGAAACGGCCCAGGGAATTGGAATCTCTGCTCACCCCTTCTGAACGGCACCGTTTACGCGCAGATCAACTATGTCGCCGACCCTATTTTTATATATTAGATCTCTCGTTCGTTGCCCGAAGCATCATGTGTTCAAATCGTACTTGTATTGCTGTAGGTATGTGGACAGGCGAATGAAACCCTTCTGGCGGAAAGAACGGCTGAACGCATAGCGGGTACCCGCGCGAAGACCTGATGTTTCATGTTAGTCATGAGGGCATCGTCGTAAGAAATTCGCAATTGAGCGTGGTTCTTCAGCTGAGCGATCTGTGCCGATCCAGCACAACCATCGACGTTTGTTTCCACCAGAAAAGCACGTCGATGTTCGCTCTCGCTGGAAGGGGATTTTGATAGGGAGATATGCAGAGCATCATTGACGTACCGGCTGCGTGACCCATGGCGGCGGTGTTGTCGTGTGTTGGGGATTATCGGTTGGGTTGAGGTTGACGGGTTTTACGATAATGACGGGCTCACAAGAAATTGTCTGCGGTGGGATTTTGGAGCTTGGGACAATGCAGGTGTGCTGCGTTGTGTGCTGCCGTGTGGCATGCAGCTGCCAGCGCTAAAACTCAGGTGGTGCATCGCTCAGAGGCTTCGGTCCAATTAAGCGAGGCCCGCCTTTCTTCTTACGGCCTAGCTCAATGCTTGCCCTATGTTCCCACACAATCCACCGTCCGCTCTCTTTGCCGACCCTCTCGCGTGAACTTTTTCTTCGACTCTGCGAACCTCCGACAACACCACACCTTTCCGCCATCCCAACAACGCCCTCTTGACGACTGAGGTATCGCAACCATGGCGCCCCTCTCCTACTCCAAGACCGCAAAGGTCCCGCGTCGTCCCTTCGAGGCCGCCCGACTGTCAGTAATCACCGGCCACTGAGCTAGAGCTTGTTCTCTGCTTAAGTCGAATGTGAATTGAAGACTGACACGGTTCGAACCATAGTGACTCCGAGTTGAAGCTCGTTGGCGAGTACGGTCTGCGCAACAAGCGTGAGGTGTGGCGTGTCCAGCTCACCCTCTCCAAGATCCGTCGTGCTGCCCGGTATGTTACTTGTTTTTACTCCTCATCCGCCAAGATGGACCGAAAACTAATTTCCATATTTCATACAGTCAGCTTCTTACCCTCGACGAGAAGGACCCCAAGCGTCTGTTCGAAGGCAATGCCCTCATTCGCCGTCTCGTGCGTATCGGTGTGCTCGACGAGTCCCGCATGAAGCTCGATTACGTCCTTGCCCTCAAGGTCGAAGACTTCATGGAGCGCCGTCTCCAGACTTGCGTCTACAAGCTTGGTCTTGCCAAGTCCATCCACCACGCCCGTGTCCTCATTCGCCAGCGCCACATCCGTGTCGGCAAGCAGATCGTCAACGTCCCCTCTTTCGTCGTCCGTCTTGACTCCCAGAAGCACATTGACTTCGCCCTGACCTCGCCCTTTGGTGGTGGCCGCCCTGGCCGTGTGCGAAGAAAGAAGGCCAAGGCTGCCGAGAAGAAGGATGATGGTGAGGAGGAGGAAGAGGAGGAATAGATATGTCGCCCTCAAATTAGTTCGGTTGGGCCGCTTGGGATACGGAAAAGTGACGACATTACGGGTTGTTATATGCTCGTTCAGTGTTCGGGCGTTAGGCCACAGGGAACCGGAATGCATGAAATTTCTTCATGAATGATACCACGAGTGCACCAATTGATGATTTTACTAGTGACTAAAGCCTTTTATCTTGTTTTTTGGGTGTTCAATTGTCTGGCAATTTCTATGATGCTAGCTGATCATTACCTAAGTACTTAGCCATGGGATCGTTGGCGGCCGTTCGTTTCCGCCGGTATTCATCCATCTCTGCTTCAGTAATACCGCCCATCATCTCCTCCATTGTCCTTTTCTTGGCGGCTGGTTTCGTAGATTCTGCTTCCTCTTCTGGGACGTTCTGCTCTTCCTGAGAGGGCGCATCTTCTATGAGGCCGGCACCCGTTCGGTGCCGCTCAGCGTTTTCCCAGGCCTTCTTGCCATCCTCTCCAGTACAGTAGCTATTCTTGATGAAAGAGTGACAGCATGCGTAGCCCCATTTGAAATTGGACCACCAACTGCCCCAGACCGATGTGTGATTGTTTGTAAATACGTCCTCGGGGTACTTGGATCTTGCAACGGTCGTTGGCGCGCCTTTGATCAGGCCAGCCTCGTCATACTCGACAAAATGTTCCGACTCTGTCACGACAACGTCGCGGAGCGCCGAAGGCATTGCGCTGTCAGCACCACCGTACTTATCTTGCAAGGCTTTGACATGCGCTGCTTTCTTCTTCTCTGCCTCCTCCTTTTCTTTCTTGCGCAGGTACTCTCCGGCTGTGGGGTTCGCCTGCAGATGCTGGCTGGTGTCACCACTCTTCTCTTGCTTCTCCCATGCGTATTTCTGCGCCTTTTCGAACTCTGCCGCGTCACCTGATGCCCGCTGAAAGCCCTCTTCGGCAAACAGCTGCGCGGCTTTGTCTGCCGTGGCACCGGCGTCGACTATAGTTCGCGTTTTCGGGTCGTATTTTGCGGACTCGAGGTCGAGATTGAGCAGATACTTGGCCGTGTCTTCTCGTAAGCGTAGCTGTCTTGTTGCTGTGCTCTGATGTCGTCCCATGTCTGACTCCTCAGCGTACCTCTCGCCATCGTCTTTGTCTTCTTCACCCTCCCCTTTGCTGTCCTTCCCGTCCCCATCAACCAGGGTCCGTAGCTCCTCCATTTGCGAAAAGCGATTCACGACGTGGCGGTACTCTTTCGGGTCGTAGCCATTCCAGCGATCGCGCTTGGCGTCCCAGCCCAGCTGCACATCCTGTACGACCTCGTCGGCTTGGATGTCCTTCCCGGTCCACTTTGCGCCCTTGGCCCGCGGCCGGCTGAGGCAGTCCTTCGTCTTGTGTGTCATCGCGCCGCAGTTTTCGCACGCGCCTTTGCGATACTTGGTGGCGGCAGGGCCGAGCTTCTTGCCGCGATCGTACCATGTCGACTGGTCCTCTTTGGCCTTGTGGAGACGCTGATGTTCGAGGTAATCTGACTGGTCGCCCTCCTCGCCAGCATAGAAGGGCCGCTTGCTGATGAACGACGGGATGTATATGTTTTCTTCTTTTGATGCCGCAGATGCCTTGGAGTCGTTCCTCCGTGATGGAGGTGGCATTGTGAAATTTGGCGTCGGTTGGCGTTGATGACTCTAGACTATGGGCTGCAAGAGGATGTTGGAACTCGTTTATAGAGTTGGGTATGGAATGTTTGGTCGCAACGGATCGCAAAGTTGGCTGCAGATAAACAGATACAACCTTGAAGCGTTCTTAGATAGTGTGGCTAGTGCATCAATGGGAGAATTCAATGTGTGGCTTGGATTGGCCTAAGGCTTAACTTTAGGCTGCATGTTATCTAAGGTTACACAATTTTAGTGGGTTAGGTGCCTACTCTCTGCAAGAACGCCACCTGACAGCGCATGCAACCCGCGTCATACTTTCAAGCCAACGCGTCTGAATTCAGCCATGATGGCGTTAGTCGCGTTCATTGAAAGAGGATGGGTCCTCATGTCAACCACCTCTTCTTTGGCTGATAAACGCATCCTCGTGAAAGAGCTTATATTAAATGCATTCCCAACTAAACCAACCCTCTTGCTACCATGTATAAGTCGTCATGGACGTCTTCCGCGTGCGGTTGAACTGCATCGACCATTATCAAGCCACCCCAACGAAATATGACCCGTCACCTCGGAATGATGTGCGGTCGTCACAATTGCGCAAGGAGCCCAAGGTCCCTGTTGTCAGGGTTTT